TATATATACTCTCCCACTTTCCCTCCTATAATTAATAGTTTGATGGAGGTTTAAACACTAGATTAGACGTAATTGAAGATAGAATTAGTTAATTCGGTTATATATCTAAGGAAAGTATACAGAATGAGCCACAAAGAGACAGAAAATAATACTGTATTCACTGACATGAAAGATAGAAGTAGGGGTCAAACATATGTCTAAAAAGTCATCTAGGAGACAGAGAATGAGGAAGATACAATAATAAAATAGATAATGGCAGAGCAGCTTTAGAAATGATAAAAGATGTGAATCCTAAAATCCAAGACTTGAAAGGAATACTGGAAAATTTAAAGAAAAAGTCACAGCTAAACACATCGTAGTGAAACTGCAGAAGGTTAAAACCCAAAAAGAGATCTTAAAAACCACCAGAGAGAAAGAAGAGATTATAATGGAGCAACAGTTACTCTTCCTGCAGAGTTTTCAGTGCCATGAACAAGCACAGACAATGTTGTCATAATCTTCAAAGTACAGAGGGAAAGTAAATGCCATCCTAGAATTCTATATCCAGATCAACTGTCAATCAAAAGTGAAGGTGAAATAAAGACATTTTCAGAAGGTAAACTGAAAGAGTGGATCATTCACAAAACTTTATTGAAACATCGATGGATATACTTTAGAAAAAAATTTTTAATTTAGAATAATAGAATGGGTCCTGAAGTAATGTGATATGAAGCAAAAGAAGTAAGTTAAGAAAAAAACATCTGTCCCAAGGCTTAGGAGTTGATTACACCAGTGGTGATTTGCCTGTTAGAAGTCATAGTCTGAATTAGCTATCCCTTACTTATATCAGTACTCTTATAATTTAGGGATAGTGTCTGTTCTTGCTGACATTACAAGAGATTCCGTCTAAAAGTTCTCATTCTTTGATATGCAGGCCACAATTTATTTTTCCCTTTATTTGAGACCACAGTTTATGAGTAGATGTTGGAATTTAAATTGTGACATATACCTACCTGAAAATTACTCAACTGGGAGCCTTCAGATTCTTACAAATAATCTGATTTTGCATCATCTGTCTTCTAAGTGTGAAGTTCTGTGTTGAGAAAGGCAGAAATGAAGTAGGCTTGTGCCCGAGGCATTTTGATTTTGAGACAGAGATAGTGTGATCTCATTCAGTTTCAATCATTTAACTGTTTTTGACCCTGAGTGTCTTTCTCTGTCCCCCAGAGCCCAAGGAGATTTTTGCCAAGAAGCAGCTGGCAAGGAGTTCTGTGCAGGCTGAAGCGGGGTCCAGTGCTACACTGAGCTGTGAGGTGGCCCAGTCCCAGACAGAGGTGGTGTGGTACAAAGATGGGAAGAAACTTAGTACCAGCTCAAGGGTGCGCATGGAGGCCAAGGGCCATGGGCGGCGACTGGTGATTCAGCAGGCAGGCCAGGCAGATGCTGGAGAGTACAGCTGTGAGGCTGGAGGTCAGAAGATCTCCTTCCACTTGGATGTCACAGGTGAGTTCCTGAGGTTCTTCTTCTTTTTTCTAGGCAGTATGATTAGACAGTGACTGGGAGGAGCTGTGACTTTGTTTCATCTGACATATCTCTTCAAGTAACAATAGCTCCCAAGTGTTAATTAGGTGCTGAGTGCCAAGTCATTTGTAAAGTGCTACCTGTCTTTTCACTTGTTTAAATTTAGGAAAAGGTCTATGAGGAGCTCTTATTATTCTTATTTGACTTATAAGGCAAAGAGAAATTATATACGTTGCCAAAGGTCACACAGTATGAAGATGGCAAAGCCAGGATTTGAATTCAGTATTCGGGGATGATTTTCTTCTTGTTTCTCTTCGGTATTTATCTTAGTAGGTCTCCTGCTGACAAATTCTCTCATTGTTTTTGCTTGTATGAAAACATCTTTATTTTACTTTCTATTTAAAAATTAATGTTGTTATTATTGTTAAATGCCGTTGAGTTGGTTCTGACTCGTAGAGATCCTGTGTAGTGTTTACAAGGAGCAGCTGGTGGATTTGAACTGCCAACCTTGTGGTTAGCAGTCCAGTGCTGATCCTACAGTGCCACACCAGGACTTCGTTTTTTTAAGAACACTTTTTATTAATTTATTTTATTATTTATTTAGAATGGTTTAGATTTACAGGTTTTTATATGGACTTAAGTTTTCAATTCAACTGGGTAAATATCTAGGAGTGTGACAGCTGAATATATATTTTAAGAAACTGCCAAACTTTCTAACAAAGTGGCTGTACCATTTTGTATTCATGATGAAATGAGAATTCATGTTGCTCCACATCTTTATCGCCATTTGATATTGTCAGTTTTGGTATGTTAGCCATTCTGATAGGCCTGATAGTGTTGTTGCAAAGTATTTGCATTTAACAACAATGATATTGAACATCTTTTCATATGCTTATTTTCCATCTGCATATCTTCTCTGGTGAGACAGCTCTTCAGATATTTGGCACACTTAAAAAAATTTTTTTTTTCATTGTGTTTTAAGAGTTATTTAGGAATTCTGGTGTGGCACTGTTGGATAAGCACTGGACTATTACCCACAAGATCAAAGGTTCAAACCCACCAGTCTCTCCTTGGAAACCCAATAGAGAGTTGCTATGAGTCAGAACTGACCAAATAGCACTTAACAACAAGAGTTAACTAGCATATTTTGGTTACAAGTCCTTATCATATTTGGTTACATGTTTCATTAATTTTTTTTTTTTTTTACATTCTGTGCCTTGTCTTTTCAAGAGGCTTTAAATTTTAATACAGTTCAATGTTTTCTTTCATGGATTTTGCCACTGGTGTATAGCTGAATATCATTGCCAAAGCCAAGGTCAGCTAAATTTTCACCTACATTATAATCTAGAAGTTTTATAGTTTTCTCTTTTAGATTTAGGTCTATGATTTATTTCAAGTTAATTTTTTGTGAAAGGTCCAAGGTCTGTGTTTATATTTACTTTTTTCCCCCATATGGATGTCCAATTGTTCTGGCATCATTTCTTGAAGAGACTACTCTTTCTGCATTGCCATGTAAACCTGTCTCAGTGTTTCCCTATCTGTCTTGTTCTTCCACCTCCTCTCCCTACTTGTATTTCCCTCCCCAACATGTGAACTAAACCCCCACCCCAACCCCACTGTTGTGGTTACCTTATATTACATTAATTCTTCCCTCCATTTAAGACAGTCTGTTTTGTCTTGTAACCTACCTGACTTTCTCACCACCTGGCTCTCTTTTCCTCTGTGTTTACCTTCTTTTACATTGTAATTGTTTTGATCATAGATTGACCTCCCAGATCCTCTGTTCTTATAATTTTGTTTTGTTCTTAACTCTTCCATTTGTTGATTGAGTTCAGGGTGATGCTGCCATGTACATCACTCTCTGGTTGTTGTCTGTTCTTGTTGGTTCTCAGTCCACAGAACTTCCTTTAGGATGTTTTTCATAGCAAGGTTGGCTTTGGCAAAATCGCTTAGCTTCTGTTTATCCTGGAATGTTTTGATTACACCATCATATTTGACTGACAGCTTTGCTTGGTAGAGGATTCTTGGGTGGCAGTTTTTTTTCTTTCAGGGTTTTATATATGTCTCCCCATTACCTTCTTGCCTGCATGGTTCCTGCTGAGAGATCTGAGCTTAGCCTGATTTGTTTACCTTTGTATGTTACACTTCTCTTTTCCCTAGCTGCTTTCAGCATTCTATCCTTATCTTTGAATTTGGAGAGCTTGATTATTATGTGTCTTGGTGATTTTCTTTTAGGGCCTATCCTTCCTGGGGTTCGTTGAGCTTCTTGAATGCTTATCTTTTCGCTTTTCAGGATGTTATGGAAATTTTCTTCCAGAAGCTCTTCAACTATCTCCTCCGTGGACTTGTGTGATTTTTTCCTGTTCTCAAATGCAGATAATTCTTAACTTATTCCTCTTCATGTTGTCCCACATGAATCATAGGCCTTCTTCAGATTTTTTAAAATCATTTTTTAATATTTGTTCTTCTATCTTAGTAGTGTTGAGAGATTTATCTTCTAGCTCACTAGTTCTGGCTTCTAGCTCTTCAATTCTACCCCTTTGCCCTTTCAATTTATTTTTCATTTCTGGTATTCTATTATTAATCATTTTGACCTCTTTCTGTAGGTTTTGAATTGTTTGCAGTGCTGTAACTGTCTTTTTGATTGTTCTTGTAGCGCTTTCCTGACTTCTTCCTTATTTTTCTCAACTCCATTGTACAGTGTTTTGAGACATTTTATAATCATTTTTGTGCATTTCTTCTCAGTCATTTCCAGAGCCTGCCCATCTTCCAGAATGTAGTGTAGGTCTACTTCCAGCTCATTTGCCTCAGTCACTTTATCTAGTTTCTGGACATGTGCTGATATGGTCATCTGTTTCTGATTTGGGGCACATTCAGGAGTTATCTGTGGCCTTAATGCTTAGATGGGTGTGTATTTTGGTATTTTTTATGCTTTCTGATTGCCTCCAGATAGATATGACCAGGAGATGGGCTTCCCTTTTCACTCTTCTTCCTGAGAAATTTCAGGATGCCACTTTTGGTTGTTGTGATGTAACTCAGGATTTTATTTTCAGCCTATTTTGTTTTTAGCCTGCCAGTCCCACTCCTCAGTCCCCATTCAGGCCTTTTTCCTAGTGATACACAGTTCTGGGCCGGCTGTGGCCATTTTGCACTGCAGTTTGGTTTTAAGTGGAGACTTTCACTTTAAATTTTGAGGAGATCTGTACGCATGCATA